GCCTTTCTTATCTCGTAAGCTACGATCTTTACCTATGTGCACTGTCATGGCGGCGGTTGTGACTGTTCGTGCACCCGACGGACTTGAATTAATACATACTAGTTATTTTTACGTGTATTCAAGAACTACCGTGAATCAATAACTAGTGACGTTATACAATCGCCGCCATGACGGTGCACATAGGTAAAGATTAACCGCAATAAATTAGATTGCTAGTTATCAATAAATGATTATCTAAACTTATGCATGAGTATCATAAGCCGGTTGCACAAATCCTTTTGTTAATACCGACGAAATGAAGTTAAATGATTTTAACAATCGCAGATTTTAGTTTGAATAGATAATGATTGTGGTCTACCTTTATTTTTCACCTTTCAGTTTGTTTTCTTAGTCTCTGCTCGTGTTAAATATACAGTAGAGTTAATTATGAAGTGTTAAGCGAAAATAATCGCCTAGCGGATGAAGAATTAGAAATTAATTTTGAACCAATTGTTCTTCCAATCTAATTTACATAAATAAGTGTGTGTGTATTTTTTTAAGATATAAACTAGTAATTTTTATTCTTCATTTACAAATAGCTAAGTTAGGTTATTTTGGTGAGCAACATTAACATTTCTTTAAGATGTAAAAAATATCATTGTAAAAAGTAACATTAGTAACAAATAATCATTACATAGTAACCCTTTAAGTTGTTCCTGACAAATTTTTAATTATTATTTATGTATAACATACCATAATGGTGAGTTCTTTTTAATAATGTATTATTGAAAAAGTTTTTTACCCCAAAGAAAAACCTTCCTTATTTTATGATGAGTCATCACCAGCTGGGTACAACTAGGGTTTCTAACGAGATCCCGGCTGTTTTTTAACCCGGGAAATTCTTATCATCCCGGAAAATCCCACAAGTTTCTTATTAAAAGTTTACAAGATTTTCTTAACATTAACACATAATAAATACAAATGTATTTTGACAGTTTAATTTTAAGCCTGCTTATTCGTTTATTTTCAATTTTTGCTTGTTATGGCATGCCACAGATTATAATAGAGATAAATAATCAACATGTAGCCTATTTGTGGCAGGACAATGAAAACTCATTACTTGTCGGAACCTGTAATATCCGGAATAATTGCGCCGATGCTGCCTTAATTTTTAACCATGCCCAGTAGCTTCAATAACTTCATTTCACCGGGTTGTGCAAATTGGGCAAGGATGCAAACGAGTACAAAGTATGCAAATATGAAGTTTTTTTTTCATAAACCTGATTATTAAAGCCAAACGAACTGCCGAATTATCGGGCTATAAACTCGATGCCGCTATTAAAAGGTCGAGGTAGATAAATCAAAAATACTAGACGGCAAAAGAAGTACAGCAACGCATCTCGAAAACGAACTAGAAAACTTCCAGGCTACAGGTGAAAAAAAACATAACATCTGCCTTCTCTTAAATGCATTAAAGACAATTCCAGCCACATCAATTGAATCAGAAAGGGCATTCTTGGTAGCGGGACTTTTCATTACTAAAATAAGAACCAGATCGAGTAATCGGAATATTGACCATCTTTGCTTTTTAAAATCTTATAATACAAAATATTATTGTAAATTTTTATAGTTTTATTTTTTTAAAACAAAAAATACCTTCTAAGTTAGAAGTTCGATCTAAGTTCAAATTTTTTCTTTAAATTTTCAACTGAATTCAAAGGCATTTATTATAGAGCAATTTCTCATGGAGTAAGTATAAAGTAGATAGGACAAAATCATGTTCAACTGCTTCGAGCGATCCTGGCGGTTGGGGTGTACACTATCGCCTGCACACCAACCAACCAATCAACGCATCGCATATTGCGATCGGTTAATGTTTGAATTTTTTGTTCTCAGGTCGTTTTACTGTGTTAAATTTTATAGCGTCGAAAAATGAAGTATGGCGAAAAAAGTAGGGTTTCTCATTTCCCGGTATTTTGCTTGTCCCGGGATCCCGGGATAAAAGTGAACTGTTTCCTGGGATCCCGGGATAGAATTAATTATTTTTAAGGTATACAAAATATCTTGAAATCAAATGATATAATTATTTTCCATTTTTTAAAGTAATTTTAAAGTTTTGTAACCTCCAAAATCATATTAATAATGCTGTGTTAGGTCTATAGGCCTATAATAAAAATTACCTTTAAATAACGTAGAAATTTTCACAAATAGAAAAAAATTAATTAAAGTTTGCTGGAAACTGCATACAACAACAACAAAAAAAATGTTTTGAATTGAGTTAAAAATTAAAAAAATGAACTTCTAATTTAGAAGGTAATTTTCGTTTTTTAAATAAAATATAATACAAAATATTGCAAACTTTTATAAGATTTTAAAAAGCAAAGATGGTCAATACTCCGATAACTCACTCTAATTCTTATTTTAGTAATGAAAAGTCTTGCCACCGAGAATGCCCTTTCCGATTCAATTGATGTGATTGGAATAGTGTTTAATGCATTTAAGAGAAGACAGATATTATGTGTTTTTTCACCTGTAGCCTGGAAGATTTCGAGTTCGTTTTCGAGATTGTAGTACTTCTTTCGCTCTCTAGTATTCTTGATTTGTCTACCTTGGCTGCTTTAATAGCGGCATCAAGCTTAGAGCTCGATAATTCGGCAATTCATTTGGCTTTAATAATCAGGTTTATGAAGAAAAACTTCATACTTGCAGACTTTGTACTCGTTTGTATCCTTGCCCAATTTGCACAATCTGGCGTCAGGCATTTATTGAAGCTACTGGGCATGGTTAAAACTCAAGACAGCGTAAGCACAATTATTCCAGATATTACAGGTTCCGACAAGTAAAGAATTTTTATAGTCATGCCACAAATAAGCTATATATTGATTATTGACCATTTGTGACATGCTATAACGAGCAAAAATTTAAAAAAACTAATAGGTAGGTTTAAAATTAATAAATACAAATGTATTCTGGCAGTGAATGAGTTAAATAATGGTAAAAGTTTATGAACACATACAACTTCCATATTTATGATAACTGTATTAATCACATACTGCTAATTTTATGTATCTAAGTGATCATAACTTCATTTTTCATTTTTTAATCAAATGTAACTGAAAATTGACTTCTTGCTATATAGTTTTCACTAACAGTATTGGAATCCATGCTTATATTATTAACTCTTTGCCACTGGTAGTGGTTGTATCAACAATAAATGTTCATATGATCATATTTCTTGATTGAATTTCCTAAACCTTAAACATAATGTGATGCAATTTTCTTTGATTGGCTTAAAAACAATTGACTAAGTATAGAATTTTCTACAATCAATAATCCTCATTTCCTTCTTATCCTCATTCTATCATGTAGTACATATTTGTCTCTATATATCAACTAAAGTAACCATTTGTTTCCAAAAAAGAACATTGAATAAATGTCAATAAGCTATCATGCATATTTTGGTAGTATATATATATAAAGCACCATAAAAATAATTTTTTCAATTTTTCTAATTACTATGAAGGCACTAAGAGGCTGCTTTTATCATTTTGGTCTAGATCTGGGCAGCATCGTTTGGCCAGAATAAAATGTATTATTAATTTTATACTTTCAAAATTATAACATGTTTTTAATTATTTCTTTAATAAAACAGTTTTTAGAAAATTAAAAATTCTATAGGCCCTTTCAACCTAATTGTTGGAAGAAGCTGAAAGTTGATCATAAATTGCTTCTCTTCTTGGTATTATAAAAGAGAGCTAACTAAAACCATTCCCAATGTTACAACAGATTTATCTTGCCCTTATGTGTGACTGTTTAACAGAATGGTTGTATTCTCATGATTGTCATGTAATTTTCTATTTGTCTATTTGTTTTGATTGAATTTTATGTGCGGCAATTTTAAACAATATGATTTGGAAATGAAGAATAAAGCTCTGACTGGTGTAAGTAGTAAATCATATAGCAAAGCCTGAATCTAAATAATTAACAATAAGAATTATCTTGCCGTTGTGAAACAATTGACAACTTTGTATATCCACAAATTACTTGTACTATATACTAATCTTAGTTCTTTAAAAATGACTAAAAATATTAATATGTAGTAAAATTAGTATGCTGGACAAAGATGCCACTTGTTTAGTTAATATTATAAGGACAGGTAACCCCCTTATAACATGGCACTTCTACAGCACGGATTCACTCTAACACAGTTTGGGAATTGGGTAACACCCTCGTACAACATAAAAAATGTAATAAAGAGTGCATTCTTTTATACCTCTGTGCAAGCATTCTAATTTTTTTCGTGGCTACTTTGAATGCTCTTTCAAAAAATAATCCATTTAATGGTTAAATTTTACAATTGGGACCCTTCTTTTGCCTCTAAAAGCTCATTTTAGAATTATAGATTTCTCCATCATGATACTATCGATAGTGCAGGCGCAGCCATCTTTCTTTCACCATGGTTCCTAAATGTCTACAAACAGCCATGCACTCACGTTGCAGAGCAGCCGCCACTAATGAACGCACCCAAAAACTGTTACCAGTTGATGATGCTCATACTGAGATCATCATATCATATGAATAATCCTCTGGTAAAATATTTACTTAAATAATAAATAAGTATTTTACCTATGAAAAAAATGAATAATAAATCTGATTTAAATAAGGATTTAACAGCACGTTTTGTAATTTTTGGAACCTAACCCCCCTTTTCACACTAGTTCTTTGTTTCGTATAACACGGCAATTTTTTGGAACGTAACTCCCATATTATACAGGGGTTACCTGTACAGTATTCAGTTTGTGGCTTATTGTGTATACAAGATAATCAGTGTTTATAATACAGATCTGTAGAAACCCATTAAATTTTATATTATAGAAATGATTTGGCTGTAAGTTTAGAGAAAATAATAAATCTGAACAGTAAATAATTGTATTAAAACTATGATAAATATACAAAATGAAAACACTTATGGTACAAAATTTCATTTGAAAAAATTATTTTATACACTAAGGACATATTTCATAATGATGAAAAATTATGTACATATGAAATTACAATTTACCCTTCAAAAATTTTGCATAATTTTCAATAAAAATAGACTGCTCAAGGGATGTATGTACAGAGTTTATCTATTTCTCAATTGATTTAAAATTTTCTACAAAATACAGAAAACTGAAGGTTTGAAAAATGTAGCATATTTATCTTAAATACTGTTTTCCTTGTAATTGGTTGGAGAACCAAATAAGTAAATTGCATTTTTTTAAATGCAAATAAAAATAAATGTGTGATATTTTTATCAACTAAAAGTTTTCTATCATCATTGTGACTTCTATGCTTTTTACAATAGAAATAGTATATGATTCATGATGTCAAATGAGCAACAGAACAATTATAATACATCTTCAGAAGCAATGTGCCGTTAATGTGTTTTTAATTAACAACAATGGATTTTGAGCACGATGCTTTTCCTGTGGCACATAACTTCTTATGAAATTAAAATCATTTAATGTCTTTTGAAAATATCACAGCTGCTTTGTTAGTTGTCTTCATATGATACTATAAGGGTGGACCATTAACACCAGGGTGAAGGAATAAGCAATTGCTGCCATATCTGCATCCACTTGCCATGAAATGCTTACACGGAACTCGGGGTGGTCCTCTCATTCGAGGTGGAGGCCCTAAATAACAATTAAATTTTCTTAACATTATTATATATTTCTTTTTTAAGTAAAAATGTTGAATATATTCAAAATAAATTTGCTATCTGCATGCTTATGATATAAAAATAGAAAATATATTAAACTCACCCATGGGCCGAGGACCTCTTCCACGTGGAGGTGGAGGAATGTCAGGCATTGGAACTCTGACAGGAGGAGGGGGCATCATCCTGGGTCTGACTCCTCGTGGTGGCAGAGGCATACCCATCATTCCAGGCATATTTCCAGGATGATTTCCATAAAACTGGTCCCCATACTGATCAGGAGGCATCATGCCAGGATCCCAATCTGGCATTTCATTTTCACTGACATAATGGTTTGTTGGAAGAGGATTGAAACTGGGAGGTCCTGTAACAAAAAAAAAAAAAAAAAAAGACAATGAATAAACTTCTTATAAATAATGACCTTGAATGTTAAAGTAACAATAATTATTGAAAATTCAATTTAAAACTAAATTCTATGCAAGATAATCAATTAGGTCACAATATGTATTACAATTTATGTTTAAAGTAATTTGAGCAAATTTTTCAATAAGTAAATTGGTTTTACAATTTAAAAAATCCTATGTCTGAAAATCATAAATATCTTTAATAATTATGATTTCAATATTTAATAAATAATATTTAAAATCAGGGACAAATGTTGTTATTATTACTGAATGTTTCAAACTACTTGTACTTCCAAATAACAAATTTTTTCTGTTTCTTCCCTGTGAACACTACAAAGCCTTTTTATCAAGCCCATTATAGAATAGACCAGGTCCGTAATGGGGCAGCTGGGTAATGAGGAAGGAAGCTAACATATCTAGGAAGGACCATCCCCAAAAAATTTTAGGATTTTTCAACCCACCCATAAATCGTTAAATATTTCTGAAGCATAACACTTTAATATCATCATACAATTGAAACAGATCTATGAAAATAATAAAACTTGATGTATTATGTTTAATGTTTTAAAAGTTTAGAAAATTAAATTAAAAAATAATTATTATTATTTTTTAATTTATTCTTGTATTATCAATAAGAATGAAGTAAATTAAAAGTGAATATCTAAATTGAAAAACTAAGAGGTAAAGAATTATACAGAGATGATGATTATTATTCAAAAATGAGAACCATAATTAATAACCCATTTCTTAAGAATAGTCATAAAGTCTATCCACTGTCTCTGAAAAATTACTCATCACACACTACTATCTGAAACTGACTGGGTTTAGGAATCTATTTACTCTGAACATCCTTTTTGTGTTTTTCAAAATATTGATACTTAGTTCTATATCATTAGAATGCTATGTTGCAAAGTTGAAGTCTTATATGTCTAAAACTAGCTTTTCATCTGAAGAATTTTAGACATTAGAATTTTATTTTCATTTTAAAAAGTTTTTTGTAAAAAATTTTCTTATAAAATCTCAGAATTAAACCCAGAATAGCCATAAGAAAAAGACTTAGGCTGTAGCATAATTATTACATCACTCACTCATGAATATATTTGAACTACAGTATATAAATTCAATAACTTAAAATTGGTTCCTTTTTTGAAGTGCTGTTTACAATTGAGTTTAATTTAGCATAAACATGAAGTATTTAAAAATGTCACATAGATATTTCATTGCCTTCCCTTGCTAGTTACTTATTATTGATTCAAATTAAAATTTTAAAGTAATTATTGTTTATAAATTAATTTAATGTTAATATATTTAGTTTGGAAATTAGATATATGTCATCAGTTACAAATTAGATACAATTTAAAACTTGATTTATGTAAAATCTAGTTGATACCACTAATTGATACATGTTATGTTACTTAGCCCTGAAACTTTGTTTAATTTAAATTACATTTAAAATAAATATTAATTAAATATGTTAATATTAATTTAAATTTAAGATTAAAATCAAGTTTGATTTTCTAATTAAAATTTACTATGCCATATTTATTTTCAATATTTCATAACACTAGCAGATAGGCCTGGCGTTGCTTGGGCAAAAAGTAACGATAGCGAAGATTAAGATTATTATGTTATAGTCAATATTACCTGTTTTCAAAGAATGCAAGAATTAGGTCCCCCTCTTTCCATACTAATTAGAGAATTTTTAGATAGGTTTAAAAATGTTCAATTTCCAAAAAAAAACTCCATCTGCATCTGTACATTTTGCCTGTCACTTTCTCTTAATACTTCCATTGTTGAAACTTTAATCCTGTCCCTCTCCCCGGGGAAATTCCGAAAAATCCCTTCTTAGTGTGCGTTCTCGTGATGTACCCTAACTGTGTACCAAATTTCAACTTTCAACTCCTAACTGTTTGGGCTCTGCGCTTATTATTATTATTATCAACCCGTCTTGATTATATATGTTACTGGCCAAACCTGATTTCAGGCCAAACTAGTTTATCCTACGTGTGTCAGGATATACTAGTTTAGCCTAGGACAATCTAATTTGGCCTAAATACTTTAGGCTTAACTAGTTTGTCCTAGGCCGAACTGATTTAGAATTATTATTTAAGTCAGGCCTGGCCGACACAAATTGTTTTGCGGGCCACTTTGATCCCGTGTAACATTACAATGAGCCACAATTTAGGTAAACATGCTTTTAAAAAAATAAAACAAATACAAAATGAATAAGATTTCATTGTTATACCAAGAGTTTGTACTTGCATTTGTGCATTATAACAATGACACGTGCAAATTTTCATTTATTTAATTGTTTTGGTATACAAAAAACGGAAAACGAAAGTTTTAATAGATATATAAAATCGCTTAGCTGGCCACACAATTTAATATGACAAGCCACATGCGGCCAGGCCTGATTTAAAATAAAATTAAAAGGCAATCAATTAGATGAACAATATTTATTCAAACATAGTCTACTTAACCCTTAACTGGTTTCGTAAATTTTACAATCATAACTGGTATCATGGGGGCTGCGCAGCCCCCAAGCAAAATTTGCCTTTAGAGAGCAAGTTTAACAATGTGACAGTTTAAAAGAGCATAAATGCTAAATGGAACCCTTCTTTAGTATAATCAACTTTTATTTATTTATATAATTTTCTTTACTTAATTATTACAAGAAATCACAAAATTGTTACAACTTTTGGTGTATGCTTTTTTTAACAATACAAAAATCTACCCTATTGTAAGTTTTTACCAAAGATATTTTGTTTTCTTATTCTTAAGAAACTAATCTTATAAAAAAGTATCTCTTATAGCCTCTAACTATCATTTGTTAAAAAACCACAGATAATATAATCACTTCTATTTTTAACACTCAGGATCATTTTAACGCAATTACGTAGTTCAGTCTTGACAGTTATCACATAGTATTTTTGTAGTACTATGCACTTTGCAAATAAATTTCAAACAACTGTTGCACTTAGTAGCATATTTACCATCTTTTTTTCCAGCACAAAATGACAACATACTCTTTTCAGGAGATTTCGGCT